CTTTAAGTAGTTAGACGAGCAACTTACTTCTGTTTGAAGTAATGCGGCAGGTTGCACTTAGGTACCTTTAAGGTGGCTGGGTGATGCTAGACTTAGTTGTTAGGAATATCAATGTAATTGCAATAGTAATCTCATGATCTTAATAAAGTACTAGCGTGACTGCTTATATTGGCAAAAAAAAAAAAAAAAAAAAAAAACTAATAAAGAATATTGAATATGTTCTTGTTCTTATTTTTTAAAAAATAAGGTTTTTTTGTACAAACATCTTGTATACCTATTTGGAATGATTGATGCATCCTTTTTTAAAAAGGTACTTTATATTATGTATTATTTTTATATTAAAATAACTTACATACTATATAATTTTTATTTAGATTTAATAAAATTCAAACTATCTATTTATTATAGAAGCTAAAACAACTTTATAAGAAATAATTCATACAATATCATCAATGGATAATATAATGTTTACTCTTATTGCTTTTGATAAATATAATATAGGTGAAAATAATTATAAAGATGAATACAAATATGAAGATATTGAAGATACTAATACTGAATTAAAAATTGATAAGCATAAAAACACACTTTACATTGTAAAATTTATTTATAACTTGTATAATTAAACTTTTTATTTATTTTTTATTTTTTAGGTTTTAGAAATTTTGAAAAATGCATATAGTCTTCCACAATGAAAAAAATGACTAAAAAATATTGAATCAAACTTTATTCCAATTCAAAAAATAGTTAATGATATAAAATGCTTAAAGCAAGCAAAGCATCTTCTACAAACATGAAATGGATGAAATAAAAACACCTTTTATTGGCAATAAAGTTAATAATTAATTGAACAAATTAATATATACTAAAATAAAAGACTTTTAAGAATGTCTTATGATTTATGAAACAAAATTCAATTATTATATGTAATGATAATATATTTTTGTTCTTAATAAAAAATTAAAAAAAAGGTTATGCTATAAATAATTAAGGAATTTTTTTAAGAATTTTGTAATATAACGCTATAGCGGAATACTGCTAGTCCCCTCAAATCACATGATTAATATTTAATATTCAAAAATTAATCTAATCAACTAAATATTTATTTGTTATGCTACATCTATATACAATAATAGTTAGTACACCTTAAAATTCCTATGAAATTATCTAATATATTTACACAAAGAATGTCCTGGGTCATTACTTGAAACACAGTTTAAAGAGTGCTAAAAATTAAGTTAGTCAATATTTCTCAACATAGTATCCCAGACGTGTTTCAATACGGACATAGTATCCTGGACATGTTTCAATACGGACATAGTATTCTGGACGTGTTTCAATACAGATTGTGATTTGCTCTACGTACATCGCCCAAATTTTATCAGTGAACTATGTACGTACGCACGTACGTACATGCATACCCGATCTAATTGATATGCATTATACTTATACGTAGTAAGAATACGTAGTTTCACAAAACTGGATATAATAACGTATTCGAATACAGAACCAACAGTTAATATCATGTAGTTACTGTCTAAACTATTAAAAATAACCCAAGACACGATTGTTTAGATGAAAACTACATTTGTTTAAAGCTAGATTATAACAGTTATTGAATTTGTTAATTGCATCTCAAAATAACATAAACAGTCACATGCATAAATTTCAAATTACATAAACAACAAACACTCTGAAAAGCAACTAATAGATCATACCAGTTTCCTTGTTACCTAACTTAATACTAATTTGTTAGCTGTCATTATTTCTAATTGCAATATTTAAAAGCATAGCAATTAGCATGAATTTCATAATGTAATATAAGAATGCTAATTACATAAGTAATGTATATACCTTACAACCCTTTTGATAATGACCAAGTTCTCCATATTTTTTGCATCGACGTTGGTTTGTTTTGATATTTCTTGCTTCGTGTGCTGATTTGAGATGTTTACTACCTGTTGGTCGACCCTTACCGTGACGTACTTTTGGATTTTTAATACAAAAAGCTATAGAATTATCAATTTCGTCATTTTCTTTATCACTATTATCTGCATCAGTAACACTTTCATGATCTTCTAAATTTGATTCATCGCTATCATCAACAAATTCCTCGAGCAAACTGATTAATTTTTCAGATTTTGAATGCATTTGTAATGCCTTACAAAGAGCTTTCTTGTACGTTTCATAAATTTTTCCGTAAGTGACTTTTTGCTCTAAAACAGTTAAATTCTCTTCTATTGAGTCTTTTCCAAGAACAGATAAATATTGAACAGAAAAGGAGCAACTCGATTGATTCAGTATTTCTTGATAAAACTTATCTGCAACTAAAAATGGTTCTTCCATTCCATTTTCGCTTGTACAAAACCATCGTGAAGGTAAAAGGCGAATATGAAATTTTGCCTTACTTGTAACTAACATCACTTGAAAATAGTGTCTACACACAATGCCATGATGAATGATAGACAAACAGGAACATAGATGAGATCCATTTTGTAATAATATAACATAGTGTTTGCTTTTTAATGAGTTGCCGACATTAATAGTCCATAACTCTTCAATATCATCTAGTCCAACGAACTCAATCATTTGTTTAAGCATAGCTTGCAAATCGTCAGCACTATATTCCCAAGAACTAAATTGTAGATCATCATCATCTAAACTTTTCATATCCTCACGAGCAACTTTATTAGCGACGTAATATACGGATTGATTTATTTCATCTCATTGTATTTTCAGCATCGTAGGAGTAAGAAACTGCTGGATACACTGATCTACTTTTGAGAACAAAAAATTAACCTTTTCCTGATGTTTTATCATTGGAATTGCCAACTTCCAGAATTTATACTCGTTTTCTTTATCTTAAATATCGAGCAACTTGTGAATTTCAGTGGCAAGTTCACACAATGAAGTGTTTGAATTATATATTAAACGCTTTAGGCATGCGTTCATAGATTCAACACGCGACGTAGCGATCATACCGCCCATAAATTTAAAATTAGTAAAACAGTGTGCCCAATAGTTTTTGGACTTATATAAAAATTTCAAATAATGTTGAGCTTTAGTATGATTATTAACAAGCTGTTCAAAACATTGTTGAAATCCTTCCTTACTCAAACAGTTGCGACAAAGGTAAAAGTCATCAAGAAACTTTTGATAAGTTTCACCTAATAATTTTCTTAAGTTTTTATGCAAATTCTGAGTAATGTGGTATGCACAATGGATTGGATATGTATTTGTAAATACTTGATGAATAGCAGTGTTAACGGCAGAATCAGCATCAGTAAGTATAACTAAAGGTTGAGTATTAGTAGCCTTAACTATTTGCTGGAACATCCAAATATGAGATTCAAGACTTTCGTCAGCCAGAAGTGCTTGCGCCAACAAGATATTTTGACGGTTATTATCAAATCCGACAAATAATGATAGTGCCATGCCATAGCAGTTTGTCTTATGTGTGACATCATTGAAAACACAGTCAGAATATCAAATCCAATTTTCAACTTGCTCCGGTTTCATCCAAAGTAAGTGCGTCAAGGTATTATCTTCGTCTCAGCCTCGGGCAATGACCCAACGTGAATTCTTTTCCTTTTGTTGGTCTAACCAATTTGAAATCTGTGCAGTGTCATTTGACAAGGACTTAGCAGTAGGCCGAAATCTTTGGATTATACGGTATAGATCTTTCGAGTGAATCGGATAGGTTGGATACTTTCCTTCAAGAAATTTCCTTTGCACTGTTGCTCTAAATTTACAGTACATAGTCATGAACTTCACATCTTCCAGCATTGAATCGGTAAATTTCTTGGCATCTTCAAACACAATTAACTCACGATTTAATGGATGATTATGTTCATATACTATCTTGTTGACGACTATAGTACCTTCAGGATTATTAACTTTTGGACAGGAAGTATTAACCAAAAAAGGACATTGGGTCTTTTTTGTATTAGTATCTTTATTTGAAGTTGAGTCATATGAACGACTATGTTCACATAGAAAAGTCCGCTAGCGAATAATACCCTCTTCACGTTGAATTCGGTCTTTTACAATACGAAACCCTTGTTCTTTGGCCCATTCATTAAGAAACTTTTCACATGCTTCCCACATAGAAAATCTCTTTCCCGAACACAAAGATGTAGTTACATATTCGCAAGTAATAATTGACTCAGAATCTAATAAGTATCATAGTTACAGAGTTATACAAAGCAGTTACCACAAACACTAATAAAAATTATACCTGTCTTAACTTCTAATTCCAAACTGCTAACAACATCAAGAAATTCATATCCGTTCTGACTTTCACTTATTGTTTGACTACTAGACTCGCAAGAAAATTCGTTTCTTTCTAAGCTTTCACATATTATACTATATAAGAGATAAGATGAAGAAACAGTAAGTATTATAATAGAACATAATGATAGTATGTACTGTTCGAAATGAAAAAGCTCTATTAAAAAATAGTTATTTTACTATAATCTACTCTTACCCTAAAATGAGAAAAAGACTATGTTAATAATCACCCTCATCTTACCCATTAAGAAGAGATATACAAACTTTACGTGATTTGTTATCATACGTACATTCAAAAACTAGCAATTTTTCGTATGTCCGTACTATCATACCGTACTATTTACTTAATATGAAAGTAACTTAAAAAAGGCGCACTACAATTGCAAGCACTATTAGTACTGTGTATTGGCCCTTATACATATACACTTCTAAACAATCTGTCTTCACTACGATCCCTTGTTTATACAGGCAAAAAACTCACTAAGTCAATTATCTAAGTATGCCGTTACTGTAACAAAAGATGCAAAAGGGGTAAGAAAAGGTGTATCAAATTTAATGAGAGTTTGGTTATATAGAGTTTTGAATTGCTGTGGCTTAGATTATTAATTGAATTTAACTAACATGAGTCTAATTGTTTATTTATGCAATGACTAAAAGTAAAATTTAAACTCCATCACTGTGCTTCATCATACAATACATCGAATCATATTCCAAAATCAGGTCACCTGATCACGATCCTTTTACCTAGCATACCTTTTATGCGATGCATGCGAATTAAAGAGCAATTAATAGAAGTTAGGAACATTTATTAGAGGGTCTATTAACGATAGCATATATAAGAACGCGATACAATGGATTCTTCCAAAAATAGAAATACTAAATCATTGGGGGTGTAGTATAAACAACATTTGCAGGTTTGTGCTACTAAACAATTATTTATTACGAAATCGTGTAACGTACTATCGAAATTTGTGGTCTAGCGGTAAATGCATATACGAAAAATAATAAAATTCTTTTTTTAATTATTTTATAAAATTATTCTAATAAAAAAACTTAAATTTAAGCAATGTTTATAAAATCATGAATGAAGAAAAGGACCTATTTTTTCTGCATTATAAAAAATCGATATTATGGCTTAAATATTTATATTAATAAATTATCAATGCTATGTTTTTTTTAAGTGCCGATTTCATAAATGATTTTGGTAAAAGCACTAGCATAACCAACAATCGAGGGGGAGTCATGTAATGTTTCGATCCAGATTGTTGCATATCATAATTTCAATCATGATCGTAAGTCATCCATAAAGTTTTGAGCTAATTACTAATTGTCTTTATTTATGATATTGTACAAATTTTTTTCTTTCTTAACATTTACTTGCACAATGGAAAAAACAATTAATAGTGCTTTAGTCGAAACAAAAAAATGTACAAGATGCAATTGTGACAGACCACTTGTAGACTTTCTTAGTGATAAAGACATTTATTCTGGTTGCAAAACTTGCTGTAATAGTAAATCACAAGCAAAAAAACGAAAAAAGCAAGAAATCAACAATTGTATGATGAAAAAGGAAAACATTATTGATCTCTTAAATATTACAGATCATATTTATAATTCACTCTTAAGCAATAAAGATGTGGATGATGATTTTGCAGGACAAATGAGATTTCAACTTGAATTTAACATTAATTCAGAATCAATTGATGAAACTCTTGTTGACATTGAGCAGAACAAAAACTTGAGCATTGCCAACCTAGTTATTAATAAAATTAGTAATGGCGATGGCTATTCATATGTACATCAATCAATCTATAATAGTAAAAAACAGGACTTTGTAAAATATACGTATTGGTGCAATGCTCAAAATGAGCTACATAAGCATTATAAGAAAGTTAGTGACAAATCAAGGCAACGTAGTACTGAAGCATACATTGAACGTTATAATTATAAGAGTATAATTACTATTAAAATTAATTTCAAAAACAATATTATAATTGTTAATATATCTCATGATCTTTTGCATCCACGACCTGAAAAATTCAATGTAACAAATGAAATTAAAGATTATATCAACACTTATAGTCAATAAAATGTTCCTGATATTTATCAATTAATTAAGAATCAACATATAAAAGGATATAAGACTTTGATAATTAAACAAGTACATTATTAGTGGTCAAAATTATCACAAGCAGAATATCAATCTTCAGATGACAAGCTTATTTTAGTAAAAACATACCTTCAAAATTAAAATCAAGAAATTCTATTTTTTAATGAACATGCATTTGTTTTTGTAACAGCATTTATTCATATCTTACTACTAAACAAATTAATAGAATTTATAATAGATGCCACATATAATACAAATAAACTCAAATATGAATTGTATAGTGCTATGGTAATTATTGATGGCTCAGGGTTCCCGATCTCTTACTTATTTATATCATCTAGTAAAAATCGCAATATTACAAATATTATTACAGCATGGTTTTCTGCATTAAAAACAAAGAAGTTAACTAATGTAGGAATATTTTATACTGACAAAGATATGTCACAAATTAACACTGCAAAAAATATTTGAACTAATATAAAAGTACAGTTGTGTTTATGACATATCAAACGTGCGATAGAACAAAAACTATCATTATATGCAAAAATACAACTTATATGATATAATTCTATTGAAGCACATGAATAATGTTCTATAATCGATTCTTTATAGCAACCACTTGTATTTAATGGAATAAATCAGGTGAATGTAGATAATAATATGTTGAGTTCAGGTCAATTAGCTAATAAAGAAACTCATATACAAATAAAACATTTAATAACAAACCATTTTAATCGGCATATGCTTATACCTAAAGAAGATAAGACATTTACGAATAATGGAAATGTAATATAGGTTGAATGTATTACAGAAATATACACATACTGTCATAATAATAATTTAATTATAGTGTGGGCATATCTCTGATGCGAGTGGTATTTTAAGAAGTAATAGTGTCTTTGGACATAATCATCATTTAATAATATTAGAATTCTACGCACCACAATGGTGATTGAATCTCATTGCTGATTTTTAAAATGAAACTATCTTTATAAATTTAACCATCCTCGCTTGGACCTTCTCTGTTTTATTATTATAAAAAAGGTATATAAAAACTGAATATATATTTATTTATATTTTTTTAAATTAATTTTTTTTTTTAATTTACATTATAATTTAGGCAGTTGCTCATCAAATTAATACTTTTAAATTATTGTGTTGTAGGTGGCAACTTACTTCTTGGCAAAAAGAATTCCAAAAAGAATGGAATTTATTAACATCATGACATTGTAACTTTGATCAATATTTGACAAATAATGAACACTGGTTTTGTTCATGTTCCTATTTTGCAACAAACCGATTCTTTTTATGTAAACATTTGATTGTTCCAATTGGTTTAAAGCTGCATTCATTTTTTTATAATATATTACTTATATATATTTTTTTACATTAATAAATTTAAATTTCTTAAGCTAATTTTTTTATATATTTAGGTCTGTCATAATTCAACATATCCTCTAATCTCAATATCACCAAATAACCCTTGGCAAGAAATATGAAAATACTGTAATCTTGAAGATAATTATGAACCTCTAACAATAAATAGTAATTCTATTATCAACATTAATGAAATCCCTATAACGAATAGTGCAATTGAAATAAATAATGGTTCTGTAGACATAGTCGAACAAAAACATAATCAATTATGTCAGATTCTAAATGAGGTAAAAAATTTTATAATTATTTAATATTATATTCTTAATTAATAATATTTATATTGATATTTAGGCACAACGTATTCTTAATGAGTCGAAGGTTCTTCATAATCAGCAGAAGTTTCTTGATAACATGGAAGAAAAGTTAATTCCTCTTAACAAATTAGTTGAAGATATTTTGCATCATGAGAAACGACGCACATTACCATGAACGTGGAAAGATAGTAATATGAATACACAATATTATGGATGAAAACTTTGTGTATAAATGTAATAGTTTTATATCCTTGTGAAATTATAATAATAAAGCTTATAACTTTATTGGCAATAAATAAATAAATATATTCGATACATTTTCGTGAAATGTACTATCACTATTAAATATATTTGATATATGCACTATCACTATTAAATAAATTAATTTTTTTATATACTTCGATAATAAATTAATTTTTTTATATACTTCGATAATAAATTAATATTTTTATATACTTCGATAATAAATAAATTTTTATATACTTCGATAATAAATTAATTTTTTATATACTTCAATATTTATCGGTGATAAATTAATTTTTTTTAATATTTATCGATCACATAATTGGTCGGTCCATCACGTGACTGCCCCCTCGATTGTTGGTTATGCTGGTGCTTTTGATTTTGGTGGTTATGCTAAAGGGGTTCTTAAAAAATAAAGTGATTGAAAGTTACACAAACTGATGTACGAAAAAAATTGCAAACCTTTTTTTCTAAACTCATTCACTTGTGAGCTAAATTTCGTTGGTAGGTTTTTTCTGGATAAAATTTCCAAGCTAAAAAAGAACATTTTCATATGTAAACTTTGAAATACTGACTTTAAAGATTACGTATCGTTATTCTGATTTAAACAATTCATTCTTGTAATTAGTTCTAGCATTGCTTTAACTCAATTATATATTTCAGTGCATTATAAGATTCCTTATTACATGATTCCTTATTATATGATTCCTTATCCAAATAACAATAATTCAATGAATCTAGAAATCAAAATTGAAGCTCAGGAATTATCTCTTGCCTTAATATTTTTCTTGGTTGGATACGAGCAGTTCTAGTACTGGTTGAAAAATAATGTCAGAAAGATCAAGCAAATCAGATGATTCAAAAGGGATCGATGTTTCCTCTAAACCAACACTGAATGTCTTTGCGCAACCCCATTTCAGAACAAAAACAAATACTACACGTTTATCTTTCAAAGATTTTCATAAAAATGTTCCAAATCCAAATTTACAGTCTCCCAGTGACTCCTCACCAAGATCAATTTTTCAACTGGATAGCTCTTCGGATATTTCATTAATTTCAAAAACTTTTCCAACAAAACAAGACAATTCAGAAACAGAATTAGAAGAATGTACAACTGAACAAGATTCTATTCAAGAAATTTCAACGAACGACGACTCAGCTGTATTACCAGAATTGAATCCATTATGTCCCTCTCATTCTGATGAAGAGTTACCTCTACAATCAGACTCTATTCATATGAAAGACTTGCAAATTCGACAAACAGACATGGAAATTAACGACTGTGATATTGAATCATGTATTATACAAAATCCTCAGGAAGTTGATCTATCTTTGAAAGGCAATCAAAATCCTTCTTCAGAAGTTTTATCCTCCTCAAGTAACCAGCTTGATCTATCATCAGTTGATGAATGTATGCCTATTAATGCGCATACTTCAAATGTCATGAAATCTTGTTTTCAAATCAATTCAAAGAATCCGAGAAATAACGCGAAAATTGATGACCTCCACAAGGAAAATGAGGGAGACGATTTGGGAATTATAATTGAAGTTGCTCACAGATGGAAAAAAGAGGTTTCTAGAAAGGATTCCTTAATCAAAGAACTGGTGAGAGGCATTGACTTTTCAACCATCTCATAAATTTTGCCAATAACATACCTCTTCAATTATACTTATAATATCGTAATTATGCTACCTATAGCATGATGAGATTCACAGATTAAAAAAAACCATTGAGCAACGGGATCATTCTTTGTCTTTATACATAGAGCGTATGTTCATTGTAGAAGCGCTAATAAAACGCCAGCAAACTTATACTGATCATAATCGTGAGAGAATTGAGAAAATGAAATCAAAATACTATCTATATCGCAATAGTTTATCAAATATGTTGAAACGTATGGAAGAAGTACGGGATGAAAAAAATCGAATCGAAAGTGAAATTGGGTCTTTAAAATGTGGTGCGTAAAACTTTTTAAAAATGTGACATCATATTAACCTAATCATATTAAATAAACCATATTGTGACTTATATCGACAGAATTTGATAAACTTGTTACACAGCACAAATCCATTTCTGAAAGTCATGCTTCTAATTTTCAGTCACGTATGTGAATTCGCGGTTTATTTACATTATAAGTGTTATTGTAAGATCTCGCCGTAATTTAATAATGATATTGTTTTGCATCATGAAGAACAATCTCAAATAGCGCAAATTACTGATCTAAACACCCATCTCACTGAATCTAATACGCAACTTAATAATGTTATCGCACAACTTCGTCAATTGATACAAGATTCAGATGCTAAGTCTTCATGCTATGCGTCTGAGCTTGAATCTACGCGTGAAAAATTGGAAGCATTATTACGTGAACGTGGTACAGAAAGAATGGAACATATGAACAAATGCCAGAATATAGAGTCATTATTAAAACTTTCTGAAGACAACAACAAAGCATTGTCAACAAATCGAAAAGAAAATGAAAAGAGGTATATTTTCTTTTTTTTTAAATAAACATCGCACTTTAAAATTCTGATAAAATTTTTACTTATACAGAATTGCCCAGTTGGAAGTTCAATTAAATGAGCTCGAATCTGGGCGCGAAAAATTGGAAGTATTATTACGTGAACGTGATACAGAAAGAATGGCGCATACGAACAAATGCCAGAATCTAGAGTCTTTATTAAAACTTTCTGAAGACAACAACAAAGCATTAACGACAAATCAAAAAGAAAATGAGGAGAGGTATGTTTTCCTTTTCTTTAATTAAACAACATTGCACTTTAAAATTCTGATAAAATTTTTATTTATACAGAATTGCCCAGTTGGAATTTCAATTAAATGAGCTTGAATCTACGCGCAAAAAATTGGAAGTATTATTACGTGAACGTGATACAGAAAGAATAGCACATATAAACGAATGCCAGAATCTAGAGTCTTTATTAAAACTTTCTGAAGACAACAACAAAGCATTAACGACCAATCAAAAAGAGAATGAAGAGAGGTATGTTTTCTTTTTCTTTAAATAAACAACATCGCACTTTAAAGTTCTGATAAATTTTTTACTTATACAGAATTGCCCAGTTGGAATTTCAATTAAATGAAATTGAATATAGACATACAAATTGTACATCTGGTATATCTATGTTTCTTTATGAAATGATTTTGGTTTCTTTCTAAACTAAAGTGTTAATTTCATTCATTACTTAGTGGCTATCGGAACTACCGATATTCCAGATCTTGATCTTAATATACAATATAATAAGATTATACTCAAATTTGATCAAGAACAATCTAGCAGTGAAACAAAAATAGAAGAGCTGTCTAGGACTGTTGAGACTTGGAAGGTACATTGTATTTAAATAAAACAGTGATGTTAAGTGTCTTGCTCATTGGTAATTATCGTATTCTTTATAATTTATTACGTAACTTAATGAATGATATAATGAATGAATATGACACTTACCGATGATCAAGACGTTTAACAACACTGTAATAAATGTTTTTGCGTGCACATAATTATTTTGGACATTAAATGTTCAATAACATGTTGTCTAAATTTGGTGGATTAGTCTAAAGCAGAGTCATTTGAATCACAATTAAGTATAATTTCCACAAAGCATGATGAATTACAAAATGAACACAACAAAGTTGTCGAAGAGATGATCAACGTTAATCGTCAGGTAACCTACATTGAGCAATCATTAATACACGTTTGGATCAACATATACAAGAATACTCAACCAAATGTAATTTTAGCATAATGAGGCTGTTGATAAGGCCCTCAATCGTGCTGCTTGTTATTACCAAGACATGGCAAAGAGGACAGCAGTAGAACATGAAAATGATATTCGCAAACGAGATTGTAAAATTCGTGAAGCCGAAGCCAAAGAAATAGCATTGACTGAAGAAATTGTATGTATAAATTTTAATCGTGTCATAATTTATATTAATTAAAATTTTTTTTATTGAATTTTATAGAAATCCATAAAATCTAAGCTCATTCGAACGGAATTAAATGAGAAGTCTTTACTACGTCAATTGGTATAAATTATTTTCATAAAGATATTTAAATATTGGAGTGAGTCAATAAAAACTAAGTAAAATGAACTTGATCAAATTTTTTAAATTCTGTAACTTTGTAAAGTTTTGAAAATTTTTTACTTTATTTGAATTGACTCACCATATTATGAATTACTTTTATTAACCTTGTCTGTTTAAATAAAGCGATTGAGAAAAGGATGTAGTGTATGCAATGTTTCTACTACTGGAAATACGGTGAGTGATTTATTTGCTATTTATTCAATTTTCTATTCTGTCATCATTTCAAATGAAAGTATTTTTATCTTTATAGACTAAAGAATTCCACATTACGGATAATGCGATAAAAGCTGAATCCAACGACGAATTAAAATCGGGACCTTCAAATGATTGGTTGTCACCAAATGCACAAACACGGTCTAAAAAACGAAAGGCAAGTGTCTATGTTATACCCGAAGTTGACACCTAGCTGACTGAATTTAGCTCTGAAATTAAATATTCTTGTATGCATTAGCCTATAATTTAGGCAGTGTAATTTCGGCCTGAAGTTGCAACATATATACCATTAATATTTTCTAAGCTTTAAATGAATTGACATTAAACGGTTTTTTCAAACTATAAAACAGCTTGGTCGTTCCAGCGATACCGACGGCTCTCAATACACAACACGATTGTCAGTTCCTTCAACACCTAGTACATCGGGATCAACACAGATAGGCACACGAAATCGCAAAGCTAAATGATATTGCATTTTCTACAATATTTTATTACTTTAGCTTAATTAAATTATTTACAAATATTGAAATTATATTGATATTAAAATCTCAACAATCTTAATAATCTTTCAAATTCCATGACAACGAATTAATATTATATATTTATGAATGTCCATGTTTGTCATAGAATTGGAATAATCTATCTAAAGCTCTAAAAGGTGCCTTCATGAATTGTATATGTAAGTCAAAGAATGACAAGTGCATATATATATTTTTTTTTTAAAAAAATAATTTTTAGTCTATATTTGTTGAATAGTTTCTTTTATGAATGTAATTAAAAATATTTTTTAAATCAAACTTATTTCCGATCTTGATATCGGTAGCACTATTTCTTCCTTTTCTCTTGCACTTTTCTCCTTTTTTTCCACATCTCTTCTTGCTCGATTATACATGTATAAACCACTGAAAGTAAGAACAATTCCTATACCTTGAACAAAAGTAGTTCTTTGACCAAACCATATTATGCTTGCCGTAATAACAAAAATTCGTTTTACTAATGAAGCAATTGAATATGTAACGGGGGAAGTAATAGATAAAATTGATAGTGCCAATATATTTTGAGCAAAATGTGAGGTACCATTAAGCCAAAAATAAAAAGCAATAGTCCAACCATTTAATGAAGAGTGAGAAGGAATGCGATATGACCAAAATTGTTCAATGAGTAAAGGAAAACCATCGTAGTATAGCCAAATTGGAGTCATAAAGGAAAATGCCATTAGACTAGAATAAAACGATACATTAAGTTCATCAAGTTTGCGCTTTTCAAAACTTGAATGACCTTTGAAAAGTAATTTTTTTGAAAAAATATTCTGAGCAACAAAAATAACGGTTGAACTCAATGCGAAAAGAAAACCAATAAAATTTGCCGTCGAAGAGGAAGAACAAGCGAGCATTACTCCAATAGTAAGTGGCATTAAAGAAATATATACTGGATAAGAATAATTAACTTTAAAACCAAATCGATAGAAAATTACTGTGAACAGAGGTGAGAGAGCCTATATAATTGGCGATTACTAAATAAGACTAATTGTGAATATTTCTACAGTGAAAAGTAGGATGTATAAATATTAAATGCTTACCTTTATAGTATGCACAAAACTAACGGGAACTATACTTGTAGCCATACTAGAAAACACATGACCAGTAATCGAGAACAAACTTAAAGGTAAAATAGTACTTATAATGTATGTGGTAGGACTCCTAAGTCTGGTAAATCCCATCCTATGGCCAATGATATAACAATACAGGCCAACAAAGCCGAATTGTACCCAAGTGAGAGTAATAGGATAATTAAATTGGTTTAAGATTTGTTTGCCAATGTTATTAGTCACAGCAGAGGAGGCGTACCATAATAAGCAGTATATGAAGAACCTCAAAGTATCAAGAGTATAACCGATGTTGGAATTCATTTAAGATTAATGCGGTTACGGCACTTGCCTTATTGTTTGCCGTAAAAACCATAAACCGTAAGGTCGTAGTGCCGTAATACTTAATGCCGCGATGTAAAATAAAAGATTGAGAAGGTGCGCAAATGAGAAATTGGAGGAAAAGATTTGGAAGGGGTGAAATAAAAGATTGGAAAAAGGATAAGGTTGTAAAATTACCGCATTTAAACATGATAAATTTTCTGAATCAAATTTCATGTACTACCACTACTTCTGCTTGTTTTTTTTTGAATTTAGGTCTCACGGCTTAGCTTTATTGGAAATTTGATGTTATACAAATTTAGATCGATTGTGCTTACTATACTCGGCGCACATTCAAGAGCTTTATTTGTAAACATTTGCAATTATTGTTGACAGCCAAGTTTCGTGCATTTTTACCGTTCCGAATTTTTTTAGCCTTGTTCTGTTTTCTCTCGTTCTGCTCTCTCGTTCATGAAGAGCTAAAAGAATTATTCGTTATTGCGCTATTACAGTCTGAGATTTTCTTAATAATTTACTTGATTAGAGTTAGACTCATTTTAGTTAGGATAGAATTAGGCGTAAAATTGTTCCCCGGCATTTTTTATTACGACTGTTCTCAAATTCTGAGACAACTGATAAAAAATTGATCGATTCGGTATTATCGGCATTACTGCAATGCTGAATTCAAAACTTATCAAATTCGTCAGTTGTCCGAATTTATGACAACAGGTGTAATAGAAGAACATATAGAAACATCAAAAATCTCATGGTTTTTTTTGATAATTACAAAGATTTCAAGCAAAAAATTAATAAAAACGTTTATATCAAGGTTCTAAATGAGCATATTATACTGTTTATAATTGCAATTTGTTTATTAAATGATCTTTATCTAATTTTTCAGCATGACAATGTTTTGGTTCATAAGGTGTCAGATTGACTTAATTCGAAAACCATCAATTATATGAATTGGTTCTTATGACCCTCTGATCTTAATCTTATAGAAAATATTTGAAAGACATAAAGAACAATATTCAGACTTCTCAAGACCTTAAAATGACCTTACAGGAAGCATGGTCAAGTTTGGATACGTCGGTTCTTCATGTAGTTGCAGACTCAATGACACGAAGAATCAATGCTATCGCAAGTGTAGGTCACTCAGTAAAGTATTAAATAAATATACAAAAAAAAAATTTGATGTATATGCGGCCAAACTTAAATAAATAAAAATTTTATTTTTTGATCAAAAATTGAGCGTTACTTTTATTGGCTACTGTACATCACTTATTATAAACAAATAAAAAAAATTATAAAAAAATTATGATCATGATTCTTTTACATTTTATTTTTAACCACCCTTAAAATTTAACAAAAATAACCTTTAAATGATAAAGAATTTGTGAAACGATACTCAGAAATTAATACCGACTGTTACCGTACAGCGCTGCATATAGTATCCCGGGTATTTTTCAAGAAAGCCGGCCTAGATTGAATAATACCCCCCAAATTTTAGAAGATCGGAGGATAATACAAATAGTTGTTACTGATCAATATGTACCTTGCTATTAGACATATCAAACCCTATGAAAAGATCGCACTATAATTAATCACAAATCGCTTGTCAAAAAAAGGGGGGATACTACTCCAGGGGGGTACTGTATGCAGCGCTGTACGGTATACTTGGTTCGTTTATGAACGAACCTGACAATGAAGCCAGTGGAGCTCAAAACTAGTATCCATTGGCTCCATTCAGCGCAGATCTTCTGAACTAGAATCAGATTTCAAAACATACGTTCGTTCTGCCAAAAATCTCTCATAACTCAAAAATCAGCATAAGAAGCCACCTTTTGTGCCCTAACAAAAAGGTTTCGTTGGGCAATTTACTATATAAACTGTTTCTCTCCAACTCTTAACCTTAAAGAAATTAAATAACATTATACGACAATTTAGCATATTATTAGTTATAAGTATATCGAATATATGATTAGAGATCATCGATTTCGGCCAATCAGAAACGTGATTTACTGATGGCCAATAGAAACAAACTTGGGTGATTTAGTAAACGCGTTCGTGTCCGCAAAATTTTGAAATTTGTTAGCCAATCACGAAAATCTTCAAAATTTTCAATGCCTCTGCTTATACCATGCCTACTGATTTCGAAAAAGATGTGAGTTTTCGATCATGAAATATTTCTTGTCTTGAAAATTTCTAATCTATAATCATAGTTTAAGGATTGGGAAACAGTTTTGGATCCCGCTCAGGCTTCCCTTGAAATACTTACCCTAGAAAACAGACTTTTAACTATTGAGTTAAAGCGATTGCAGCATGAAATAAAAAAATTGACTGAAGAAAATTCTGATTTAGAAGAAGAATTCGATAAACTCAAAGTATTATATGAGATGGCCTGTGAAAAATTCTCTCTACTAAAACGGCAAAAAGACTGTTTCGCTAAGAAATATATGGAATCTCAACAAATACAATCATTAATATCAAGCGAGAATGAAACATTAACTAAAAAAATTGATGAGTTGACTAAAGTAGTTGGTAAACTGATTATTATTGGATTGTTGTCATTTATGAATCGATTTTTATGCTTTTATACTATTTTAGAAAAAATAAAGTCAGAATGTGATGTAATTGCAACTGCACGAAATGAACTGCAAGGAACATTAAGTGGGTTTAAAAAAAATAAAAATAAATTATTACGTGTTAACGAATAGGTATCTCTAAGATTAATTTTGGCAATTAATAATTCAGATTACATAACAAATGACAATGACAAATTAAGAAAGGAAAATAATGAATTGCATGTTAAAATTGGTAGGTCACTATACGTATGTAGTGAATTTGACAGCCTAATAATTTAACTTCTTGCATTAATTACTCTATTTTGATTTAGCTCTTTTGCAAAATAGCTGCGCAGAATTCAATGATGCTAGTCCGCCTCCGGAGCAGATGAATGATCATGAAGTTACTGAGATTGATGACATAAAAGATGTCGATACGGAAAGCTCTCCAAATCAGTCAAAAAGACGCGTTACTTTTGTAGAGACGGAAACAAATAAAAAGAGACTGCGTGTTGACAAAGAAACTCCTAAGGTGGGTCATAAATCACGTTCTAATGGTAGATCTAGAACGACAATTTCCAAAATGCCGGACACGACCGAACTTCCAACGGCAATAACACTTCCTTTAGAACCAGTGACTAAAAACCCTGTATTAGGTTATGATAAAATGAAATCTAGATTCAATCTTTCTAAAAAAGAGTGAATTCTAAATGATTATTTGTTGTTAACTATGAAAGGGAAAATTTAGCGTTATCTCCAGATAACGCATAAATTGTTGAAATAAGACTTATTTAAGTACTGCTGTGTGCAGTGTTATTTCAAAATTAATTAATGAAGCTCGACATAAAAAAAATTTATGCCAAAGTTATTTGATTGAGATTAAAATAGTTCATTAAATAAAAATATTTTTTAGAGCTGACGGACAAGAGCTTATAGTTTTAGGGTTTTCGGTTTTTATTTAACAATAAAAAGTTTGATTATAACTAATTTTCACCCTAGGTGACATCACCCAGTATTATAAAACTTTCATTACAAGTAAATAAATTTAAGGTTAGGGTTGTTTTAGGTTAGATTAAAGGATTTAGATATATGTAAAATTTGACGCTGAAAACTCTTGCTTAGAAGTCAAAGCATGGTTTTATAATAAAATTTTGAGTTATTTGGTTTTTTTTCTTTTTCTTTGTTTTTATACAACCAGGTGACATCACCTAGGGTGAAAATTAGCAATAGTCAATTATTTATTAATAAAAATAATTAATGAAAATTAAATGATTAAAAATTATTTATTAATAAAAAGTAATTATATTATTGAGCGTTATTTAATTTAAGGGATTACCTTTTATTTTTACATTTTGAACTATGTGAATGACAATTACTTTTACATGGTATATTAGAATGTTTACATTTAGTTATTATTTTTGCATTCGCCTTTATAATTACAATTTACTTCTGTTACAGTTGACATTGATTGCATTTTTGCTGTTTCTTGAACACTAATAACATTATTTTTGCAAACTTCCAGCTCTTCATATTTAGTTGGACCCAATGGCATAAGTTCATTTGCATTAAATATTGTGTCAATGATTCTATTTTTATATTGCAAACAATACATCTTGTTTGATAATTTTTTAATTACTTTGCAAAGTAAAGTGTGCTGGTCAATATTGTTGTAATCTATTTTTGGAATTGTAATACAAATATATTCATTTAAGTTAATGTTTATTTTTGTTTAACATTTGATTTTTTATTCAGTTCTGATAGATAGAATTACTTCAGTGGTATCAACAGACTTTTACTAATCGATATTTTTTTTAAAATCATAAAATAGTACATTATAATAAGATTTATAATTATAAGAATACTTGTTTTATATTAAAATTTTGTAAAGAATTTTTTTACTAATATGCAAAAAATGGTTATATAGACAAAATTTTGAGTTACAGTAATTTTTTTAAAAAAATAGTAGTTTTTGTTTTGATTTTATATTATACTTAATCTTAACCTAATCTTAATCTGATCTTATAATATAATTGGTTAATTACTGTTAATCAGTAAAAGTCTGTTAGTGTTACTGGAATAGTTTGATAAATACAAATAATTGATTTGCATATTTACAAAAAAGTTGATAATGTAATTAAATATTTAATAATAATACATTTTTTGTATATTAAAATATATATAAATAAAAATATTTTATATAATATTTATTTACAATAAAATTAATATAAATAGCATATACATATATTGTTT